AAACGTACAGTCTAACTGCATACCTTCCTCTGTGGTGCTCATTTTGCATATGAGGTAGAAGTTAAAGGGACACTGTAGTCACCAAAACAACTTTAGCTGATAAGAACATTATAGAGTCAGGACTACAAACATGCCCCCCCTCTTAACTAAGTAGAAAACGTACATTACTCCAGCGCCGTGTGGGACCTATGGCTCTGGCTGAGCCCCCAATCCTGGCTCTTTGGCTGAGATCATCAGATTTGACGATCTCAGCCAACCCAATGCTTTACCATAGGAAAGTGAGGCTTTTGCACATGCATGACAAAATGCTGCATTGGCCAATCAGCATCTCCTCATAGAGATGCATTGACTCAATGCATCTCTATCAGGAAAGTTCAGCATCTCCTTGCAGAGTGTGGAGAAGCTGAACATGCAGCACTGACCCAAAAAGCACATCTAGTAGACATCTGAGTGACTACCACTGGAGGTTTCCCTAGGCAGCTATGTGAACACTGCCTTTTCTAAGGCAGCGTTTACATTTAAAAGTCTGCAGGAGTTTTGTTTCTGTCCATGCAGCCCTAGCCACACAAAGCCTGCATTCTAAATTAAACAATAATCTAAAGGGACACTATAGTCATCAGAACAACTACAGCCTAATGTATTTGTTCTGGTGAGTATAATCATTCCCTGCAGGTATTTTCATGCAAACACCTAGGGACACCTCCATTTGCCACTTCTAAGATGGCCACTGGAGGTTCTTCTTGGGGAAGTGCCAACACACTGTGCAGTACTGCCGTTTAGCGTCTCAGCTGAATTTTTCTCATAGAGATGCATTGATTCAGTGTATATCTATAAAGAGGTGCTGATTGGCCAAGCTGGCGTTTGGCCCCACCTCCGTCCTGCCTCCTTGCGATATCAGCCAATCCAATGATTTCTCTATGGGAAAGCATATGATTGGCTAACATGGCAGACCTGCGTTGTACTGGAAATAAGGTAAGTTTTATTTTCTTACCTCATGACTAAGGGAGGTGGGGGGGGAGGGCAAGCCACCAAAATTGTGGTTTTAACACTATAGGGTCAGGAATACATGTTTGTGTTTCTGACTCTATAGTGTGAACATTAGATCTCACTTTACAGGAAGTGTTTAGGAATGTCATTTACATTAAATGCAGGGAGGTATGATTAGAGCTTCTTAAACAAAGTGATTTAACTCCTATATAGCAGAAAATTTAGCAGTGAGACTGCAGAGGTATGATCTATACATGAAAACTGCTTCATTAAACTAAAGTTGTTTTAATGATTATAATGTCTCGTTAAGTGGTTCTGTGACATATAAGTGCAAACTCTTCTGGTCAAGTGCCTCTGGCCTTACAGCTGCATGAGAGTGAAGGTATACAGAGAACGAGCTATTAATCTGAGCCATGCGACACAGTGTCACTCAGCGGTCTATGGTTTTAACAGTTTGTATAAACTTTGATACCAGGGAATCTACAAGTGATTCACTGCACATTGCAGGATTTTGCCAACATGACACAATGCATCATAGCAAGTAGGTGTAAGTGCCAAGCATCCATCTGCAGCTTTTTATCTCGCTAAGACCATTAAAAAATTAACCTTTACTCTGCCAGAAAGGAACCAATATTCTTTTGCAACAGAAGCGATCTCCCTTAAGGACCAAACCTCTGGAATAAAAGGGAATCATGACATGTCATGTGTCCTTAAGGGGTTAAAGGATGTGGGCAGATAGGGCATATAATTAAAGGGACACTGATATAATAACTGGATGTTCCACCACTATATTTTTATTTTTTATTTTTTTTATTTGCAATAAATATTTTTGGATGCTGATAAACATTGATTAGGTAGAAATATTATGGTATGGTAAGTAAGCCCCTGCTAAAGCACTTGGTGTAATGAGGAAAATCAGGCCATGCCCCAAGATGGGGCACATAGGGAAGGAGTTGCCAAATGAGCCCTCAGATAAAGACACTGAATGCAAAGCAGCAATAAATACATCCATGAATAATAGCAAATTAATATCACAGAACCGCAATTTACTGCAGATAGCCCCTAAGGATTTTAGTCCCAACCCTCAAAAAAGGTTTGCCAGTAAGGCACATGGGGTGCTTTGAGCAGTGTTGTGCGTGAAGGGGGAAAAAAGCGCTCAGACCGGTGGAAGAGCTCCAAGGACGAACTCACATAAATCTAGTTTGTAGAATACAATAAACAGAGTGTTTTTAAATACAGTTGGAAAAAATAGACAATGAAGACTCAGGAAGCATAGGTGATTTGGATAACTTTTCCAATTTAGCTATTTTTATATAAAATTTTAAATGCACCTTGAATTCTCCCTTTAGTGAATAACCCTATTAGTGTTGAACTGCTTTAAAATGGTCTAACACAGAAGTGGGGCTTGTTAACCAAGCGGAGTAGACACACGGTTCCATAGCGCTTCAGCAGAACTCTCTAATTTGTATTTACATGTTGCAATTGCCTACTTTTCTCGACTACAACTGTGCTTGTACCGACACTTCTATTATCGAGCTTGACCACCAGTCTGTTCTGATTAATTGGCGGCATACTTGCTGTCTAGTTGCAGGAGAGGCGGCCCCTCTCCTGCTGTCTGGACAATCTTCACACTCCTCTAAGAGCCCCTGCTTCTCCTCCTCTGGGATCAGTGGGGGTTAACATGGCCCTATAAGTCCACTTCTTAATGGTGTTAAATACCTAGTCCCATGTTGCAATTAAACTTGGGGCCCACCCTCTGCCTTTATCATGGACGGCAGCCATTATGAGCAGGCTGGAAGCTATATGTGAAGATTTCATCTGCCGGATATCGAGCAGGCTGAGGAGATCGGAGACGACTCCATTTAGTCGGAGTATGAGAGAGACAGTGTCTTGCCACCACCCACAGGAGGCTGCATCATCTGGGGCAGATATCGGATCTGTTTTATAAAAACCACCACTCATCAAAATAAAAATGCAAAAAAAAAAAAATGGCATTGAAAAGAAAAGGGGATTCCATAACCAGTTCAATGAGATGAAATGGTTATAGTGCCTACACTGTCACTTTATTATCCAATATGTGAGCAGGCATAGGTTAATGAGATTCTAGCAGACGTCTTGTGAGAAAAGGTGCACCATAGGCTCCTACTCCTTGGCAAACCAGCAGCACTCAGCCACGCAGATATGTTAAATGAGATGGTTGGTAATTTCGGCTTAGAATTTCCTGCATTCGCAGAAAGTTTTGCCAAGACTAGGAAGCAGTAGTCACCTGTCAGCCATTCCTAGTCATTCTATTATTGGTAGTGCTGAGAATATCCCACAAATCAATAATCAGCCATGGTTTACGGCACACGAAGTTCAGCACCCTGCAGCAGCACAGTTAATCAGTAGGCTGTCATTTCAGAACCGTGAAGGGGCTAGTCTTAGAGGATGTGGGGACCTCCATGCGTGCACCTTTTCTGCGGGTCCACACCAAAAAATAAGTATTTGTACAACCAAGGGAACAATCCCTAAGTGGGAATTCCAGTAATATATGTGTATTTAATCCATTCCATATCAAATCTGTTTGAGCCACAAACTTTCACTCATTCAAATTTCATGACATTCTGACATTGGTTAGGTAAAAAGTTGCCATAATCTAATTACTAGAAGAAATTATATACCTTGCAGAAATTAAACCCAACTGGGGAAAAAGTGGCAACATCAGTTTAATATTTATACCATTTCATAGTTAATCTGGCTATGGTGGACTTGCTCTGTTAAGCATCCTTTGTTCAGTTGAGTTTAAATTGGCATTCACAGCCTGTGACCTACAACACTCCCACCGATGTGCGCTTTAGGAGCAACCAGACAAAACTGAACAAAAAAATAAATAAGAACACACACACTAAACTACCTACAAGGTCCAAAATTTCTAGGAATAAGGGGAGGCATCAAAAACAATGCAACAGAGGGACTGTATGATTTGTAGGGCCATCTGTCCTCCCCATGGTCAAGCCAAGCACTGATGTCATGCCAACCTCCAACTGTTACGGTGTTAGGTTTGCCAAGCTTAAGAAGGCAGTCGCCAGTCTGTCACATTTGGTGATTTTCATGGCTAATGTTTTGAAGACAAGGGAGTTGCTTGCTAAAATAAAAAAAACAGAAAAAAATTAAAACACATCTCTGAGCTGGAGTCTTATGGAGTGTTCTTACCTGTAATGCACACAAAAATAACATACTAAAGAATAACATCCCATCTACACCACACCAGATCCAATATACATCAGTGGATGTCACAATTTCCTTAATAAAAGTGAATCAACAGTAACATGGAGTTGGTGATATACACTTCTCAGCTCCATCTCCAGGAGGTTATAGAGAGGAATAGATTGCACTTTTTAGATCTTTGTAAGATCTCACCTAGAGTGTTGTGTTCAGTGCTATAGAGCAGATCTCCAGGAGGATATAGAGAGGTAGTGATAGTACTTTATAGATCCCTGGTAAGATCACACCTAGAGTATTGTGTTCAGTGCTATAGAGCAGGTCTCCAGGAGGACATAGAGAGGTAGTGATAGTACTTTATAGATCCCTGGTAAGATCTCACCTAGAGTATTGCGTTCAGTTCTATAGAGCAGATCTCCAGGAGGATATAGAGAGGTAGTGATAGTACTTTATAGATCCCTGGTAAGATCTCACCTAGAGTATTGTGTTCAGTTCTATAGAGCAGATCTTCAGGAGGATATAGAGAGGTAGTGATAGTACTTTATAGATCCCTGGTAAGATCTCACCTAGAGTATTGTGTTCAGTTCTATAGAGCAGATCTCCAGGAGGATATAGAGAGGTAGTGATATTACTTTATAGATCCCTGGTAAGATCTCACCTAGAGTATTGTGTTCAGTTCTATAGAGCAGATCTCCAGGAAGATATAGAGAGGTAGTGATAGTACGTTATAGATATCTGGTAAGATCTCACCTAGAGAATTGTGTTCTTGTTATACGTCAGTGTAATAAAAGAAAAAACTCAGACACTGTATCTTAAGTAATAATACTTTAATAAAATTAAGTTTTTAATGTCAAATCAGCACATTTAATACATTAACCCTTCCCTTCTTTGTTTTCTACAAGTTGTGCAACATCATGTATGCTTTAACTTTCTGCTTAAAAAATAAAATAAATCCAAATAAAACATCCATTAAAGACAGGCTAGTTACAAGTTCTGTAATAGGCTCATGGGGTACTTGTGAAAATCCTTTCAATTGTAAATTATGATTGGTAGAAACAAGAGCTTAAAAAAAAAAAAAAGAATAAAAACACAAGTATTAAGACAAACGTTTCTTAAATGGAAACTAGCACTATAAACGTAAGCTTCTCCAACATGAAAGGACATCTTGCAACTTTTACAAAATCTATATGTAAAGGTGGTTTCCATGCCTATACAAAAGTCTTTAAAATTCATATCTATTTAAAATAGGAAGAGGTGTTTGTGTTTTTTTTCAACAATATGTGATAATTACAATTTATAGCTGGACTTTCACAACTTCATAAAAGGTGCTGAACCTTTAGTTGTTGGGATAAATGTTCCAGTCTCCTTTGCCTTTCAACATATGGAACTGGGGAGAAATGATTGGCCACCTCTAGCCTAATATTATACCACTTCCTAGGAAAATAAGAGTATGCACAAGGAAAATGCAACAAACGAATACAAAATCTAATATCTAGTATGTCCACACACACTAACAGCAATGAAAAGTGTTACACTAAGAATCTTGAGTGTTGCAAAATGTCCTTCCCCATAACATAAGCATGTGTTTTACTCTTATACCATTCCTCAACTCAAGAAACAGTTGGGAACACAAAAAAGGCTCTTAGGCATTTGCCTTCGGATATCTGGAGAAAGAACAACAGGGATAGTTTCTCTCTCCAATTCTCACCAGATCAACAACTGTATTTAGGAGTATAAACCAAGAGAAAACATCATCACAATATAAAATGAGGGTCATTATGGGAGCATTAAATGGCATCACATCTATGTGGAAGTTCACCACTAGACGTATGAAAAAGGTATTTTACATTTCTGGGTCATTTCTATAAAGGATAAAAATATTAGGTGCCATTATTTTGTCATTCATCCCAATAGAAATGAAGTAGTAGGCGGAAGAACTTTAAATATCTTGCTTTGTCTCGACAAGGTATAAAAGAGAATTGTATATATTTATGCATATACATTAAACCCAACAACCCCCCACCCCCCAACACACCTTTCTTTCCCTAAATCTTATATTTTAATGAAATGTATGTATTCTAAAATAAAAAAAAATATAGAACAGAATATAAAGTGCATGACATGTAGTTATGTATCAAGACAAGTTTCATTCAGAGTTTTGTTCAAGTCAAAAAAAAAAAAATTCAAAACCAGAGCGTTTTGAAAATGCAAATATGTTGCAGTCTCTCTGGCAGAGAAAAAAAGGTAACAATGAGGTAAAAAAAAAATATATAAAAACAAAATATCAAGGACAAATAGCAAAAAATAAAATAAAAAAATAAGCTGCATTAAACTGTCAAAAAGAACATTATTTATAGAAGACACCAATATTATGTTGTATATCCCCCATTTCATATAAGTATTAAATAGCCATCAATGTTGTATTTTTTTTCCTCTATATAAACTTTTTTTCTTTGTTTTGCTTTTTTTTTTTTTTAGAAAAAAAATTCTCTGCGGTTTAGGTTTCGGTTTCTGCCTATGCATTTTGGCTCAGAATTCTTACATTTTTTTCTGGGCCCTAAATGTTAAAGCTATTTGCTAAATGCTAAAGGGACAAGTCTGAGCAGAACTTTACCCCATTCTTGACTTTTTTTTCTCTCTCTCCAATATATTAAGTGCTATATTAGGAACAATTTTCATGATTTAAAAAAAAAAAAAAAATGCAGAGGAATATATTTAAAAATAACAAAAATGTCTATAAAAATAAACAGAAACATAGAACTTTTTTGGTTTCTTTAAGAAAGCAAGGATTTGTCAGGGGCCAGAGAGGAAAATAAATGTAAAGTTTAAAGTATCCCTATTACACCCAAATAGTACAAATTTCATTTTAAATACCATTCAATGTGTAAAAATTTGAGTATTTGTATGTATAATTCCTTCAATTAAATGCAAGCAATTAGTTAACCCCCTTGCTGCCAGTGGGAGCTGCAAGCTTCAGTATGTTCCCCTGACAGTAAATGGGTTTAAAATAACCCCATAATTTGGCTATATGTTTGCTAGCATTTCTCTCTTATAGTGCACACATTTATTGCTGGGCTGTCATTATCTGTTCAAAGTCACTAACAGCTTAGCAGATTAAAATCAAATAAAATACTTTATCTAAAGTTTATATACATTTGATTAAAAAAATTACATTTTAAATTTTGGTAACATGGTAAAAAAAATTAATTTTTTAAAAATTATTTTTCCTTAATTGGGTTTATTTCAAATCCTTTTGCCGCAGGCATTGAGTAAACTACCCCTATGGTGGTTTAAGGGTTGATGAAACACTTTGTCACAGTCTGAAATCAAATGAAGGTGACATTTGGTTGTGATCATAAAGGAAACTAATATACTGTTTTGTTATAGATCAAGGATGTTGCTTAATCAGTATGGCCACAATTGGGGTTTTACTGAATCTAGAACTTTATCGTTGATGCTACAGATTGAGTGATCTAACGTCTCTGCGTTGATATTATGCCAATTCTGTCTTGTAGGAAGCTCATCCCAAAACAAAGGTCACAACTGTTGGGTTTGTAGAGGGTGATAAAACAGAGGCTTGTTTTAGGAGACCAATCTGGGAATGTTAGGACACCTACTTCATTCCCTGTGTATCCGATGTGATATATTACAAGTAATATATGTGTTTTCCTTTTAAAAACCACATTTACAATCTTCATCTGTGACTAAAGTCAGCGAACATTGGAGCTAGAAATAAAAACTGGTCACATGTTTGGCAAGATGCAACTTTGATTCAGACAAAATATCATGAGTTAAGGGTTTATTCACTAAACTGTCGTTTTACAGCAGACTTGCAGAAGAGGCTAGGTTAGAATAATTAACGGACTTTCCAGTTGATTAAAAAAAATTTTAATTTTTGATGTTAATTTCCCATTTTGGTTTAAAGTCAACTGTCTGTATCACAATCACAACTCCCTGTCTAGTTAATAAACCTTTGACCCATATGTGTCTCCCTTAGTATAGATCACTGCCCAGAGTCGAAAAACATTTTGCAGCAACATAAATAAAAATGGGTGCTACTTAAAACTGTGGACGGCCACCAAGTTAAATCTTTGTGTAATGTGTTTGCCGCAAAGCAGAAAAAACATAAATACATTCAGAAGCTTTAAAGTACATCCACAAAACAGCAAATAAATTGAACTATTTGTGAAGACGCTGTTTCCCTCAATGCATACATGCTTAAATGAAAAATGCATTGTAACTTGGAATTTCTAACTTGCAAGACAGAAAAAAGCAGGGCATTCTGTTAACATCTGGGGGGCTTATAAATTAAACAGAGTTACAGTGAGTTAGGTCAAAGTAAGAGTGTTTGAAGTATATATTTTCAGCAATTATGTTTTTGCTCAGTCCAGCAGTCCAGTTCTCCGATTCTGTTACTTTGGCCTAATTTCTGAACCTTTGTTTTCGGTTCACGCAAACACGCGGTTTTAATCAATAAGTTTCTTGCACAAGTGGCTAAGCTGGGTCTGCAGCCCTTCAGTGTCCTTCTGGTAGTAGTAAATTGAATAATTGCACCACCAATCTGTGGGGACTATCAATACGCCATTCTTTTATAGAATGATGTATTCGAAAACATTAAACTGCTTGCAACTTTGGCTGTGAAAGGTCACTGACCATCAGCAAAGTGTTAAGAAACATTAAATAATATAAAAAAAAAATTAAAAAAAATTATATATATTTTTATTTTTTATTTTTTTTAAAAAGGTCCCCTGCTCATCCTCATACCCCCCAAATAAGTTCATGAACGCAGTTGTTGACAGTGTACTGAAAATGTCATACAAAATCTTCCCCATGTAAACACTATTCTACTTAGCATATAGTGTGTATATATATATATATATACACACACACACACATATACATACACATACATATATATACATATACGCACTGAGTGTGGGTCTATGAAACCTCATGGCTGCCTGGTCCCTTCCCCACCCCCCCGCACCCCAAAAAAATAAAACTAAATATAAAAAGTAATGTGGTAAAAATATATGGCATTTCAGAACTGTTAAAGCAACAAAAAGATTTATTTATTTTTTTTATTATTATTTTCACTGTCTATCAAAAAATTTGCAAAAATGAAGCATACGTTGAACTAGCTAATTCACTGTAGAAGCTTCTATTCCCCCAGCTACAAAATATTGCATTTACATCACTAAAACAGCACGCAGTTAATTAAAGCACCCCCTTCATTTCTGGCAGGTCAAATTAACTCCTTGAGTGCTGGGAGCAGCAGACATACACCGCTTCAGAGTGTATCAGCAGACACTCCCAGTAAAGAAAAAAAAAAATTCAGGAAGTGTTTTTTTTTCCAGGCATGAAGGAGTTAAGCTGCTCAAATTTCTAACCAACAATAATGTGATAAATCACTAGACAAGGCATTTATAGCTAAGTACCAATAAACAGCAAAATATCCTGCACACAAGAAACAAAAAAAAATTATTTAAAATAAAAATTTTAAAAATGAATACTTAAGTTTAAATCTGGCTACAAAAGATTTTTTTCCTGTCTACATATCTAAGCTTTGAAATCTTAAGGATTACTTTATCATAAAATAAAATCCTTTCTTTTAATAAATTACCCAATAAAAAGTACTTTTTTTTTCCTTTTTCAGCACGTGTCCTGGTTACATTTACACATAATAAATGCATTTATTAAAATAGAATATTAAATTATAAAGAAATTATCTAATTTTTTTTAGCATTGTCTTTTTTTAGCTCTCTATTTTTGTATTTTTTTTTATTTATTTTTTATTTTTTTACATTTTTGCAAATGAAATAACTACAGATCTTTTAACAGTCTTGGCGTCCCTGCAAGTCAGAAATAGAAATTTAAATAATTAAAAAAACTCTCTCCCCACCCCCTCCAAAACATTTTTAATACCTATTTTTATTTTATTTTTTTTCATATTGGGGCGAATTAAACTATTTTTATACTGCTCCTTAAATATAAATCAAATTTGGTTTTTGTGTAGAATAATACATACTATTATCTATATAATTTATGATCATATCACAGTATATTAAATGCGTCTTATGTATTTTGTTCTATATTTCTCTTGTAATTATAGTGCTTATTACTTGTAGACAAGAATGGTTTAAAGTCTGCAATGGAGCTGGTCCAACCATGGATTTTAAGAGAGAATGTGCAGAAGGACCATATAAAACATCCCTTGATGACAAGTCACAGTGGTCTCTGGCTCAAAATGCTTTAAAAAAAAAGTTACGGGGACTGGACAAGGTAACATTAATATTACCCTATGCAATAGTTAGTCATTGTGTTGATTACGTTGAAAAATGTGTGTTGTTAGTCTTTCCAATACATTTTACTAAACATGAAAGCCAGTTAATTTCCTTTAAACATGGGCAATTATGATGAAAATATATACTTTCATTCCTAATTAGCACATCAAGCTTCTTGTAATGCCTCCTCTGAAGTTCAAGCTAGCTTTCTTAGTTTGTGATATACAAAAGTTAACAACAATTCAGTTATTATCAAGTAGGTCTCTTTGTTGCAAAGATATGTAGACCTCTATGAGTTACTCAATAAATTTGGTGCCAGGTCAGACTTAGCAGAGCTCTTTCTGTTTTCACCTTTAAATATTTACGAATGATCTTTACCACGGCCTCTCCATCTCTAAAAGACTGAATTAGTGTTCGAGAGTCTGCAACCTGAAAACTACCATGGCATTCTTAATCACTTCAACCCACTATTTTTATGAAAATGCTTTATACATTTGATATCCTATCTCATAAAGTACAATCTGTACAGCTATGTAATTATCCTATGTATCTATGTTGGGGGTTCTCTATGAGGCACAATTTTGGGCAACATTCCAACAGTGGAAATATCAGTAACATAGATTGAGTCATTTTTATAACTGTGCCCCCAGAACATCACCAATATTTTGTTTGGAAAGCTCACGAGTCTTGTGCTGAGTCCACCAAACACTCTGCCTCACCAATATTACAACTCCCATATCGGTGTGGCAGTTGGGGAAGGCAGCTTACCAGTTTTATATTGGGGTAAGATGCTTAAATCCCAGTTCTGGGTCTTGTACTAATATATGCATTATAGTGTCATTCATATTTCTATAGATTAATATGTAGTGTGTAAAACTGGAACCACTCCCCCAATACCACCAACTCTGGCAGAACTGACATGAAGGATTATATTGATAACTGTGCCAAAGATTTAAATTTCATGCAGCACTTTGACTATGTCATATTCGCTAGACGTTTGCATTAGTGTACATCTGTGTGCATCTGAATTATTTTTGCAAGCCCATAAAATAATAATTAACTGTAGCTTTCTATTTTATTTTTTTGGTTCAAGGATGGTAAAGCCCTTACATTAAAAACCACTCTCGAAATAAGTTAGACATTTTTAACTCTCCGTAAATATTGACAAGTAACATTTAGAAAAAGCAGGATGGCTCAGAGAGAAGAAGGCCACAGTACAAAATGGCCGCCCTTTTCTATTGTCAAATAGTGTTTTGGTTTTTCCTATTTTATAAAATATCATGATACATCAAAGTACTCTTAATTTTTGAACTGGCTCTGGTAAAAAGATACGCTGCATTTCCCCAAACTTTAAACGATATATAGAGTTGGTGATGTTATGCCACACAACCTCCAATATACATATAGATCAGGGCCAGGCAGAATTGTGACCTTAAGCTCTTGTTCAAAAAATTCTCCCATGATTTTGTGCATTATGACAATTGTAGACCAATATCAGGCGTCTCCATAGCAATTCAGGAAGAGGAAGAACAAGTGTTTGATTAACATTAAAAAATATATAATAAAATAAAAAATACACCAGTGCATCAGAAGCACAGATTTTTAGTAAGTTGTTTCATTACAATATATGTGTAATATCTCCCTGTCATTTATGTTTCATCACCTGAATACTGTGATAGAAAGAAAAAAAAAATAATGAAATCACAGAACAATTTTGTGATACCATGCAGGTTGACAATGAAAACCCTGCAGGTACTTCTTGAAGAGCGTGATTTATTTGGATCTAATCAAATATAGTAAGAATTGTTGTTGGACTTCTTTTGCAGAAAGAAAGAGGATTCCTAATTTGCAGGATAATATTCAAGCATCTGAAACAACTTTATAAGATGTAGTACTTTTTATTTAGCAATTACTATAGTGAAGGGTACTACCTCCCATGAGGGCAATTTCAGCTGTAGTCACATAAATTAAACATTGTCTTGGAAGGGATACATTCAATAATTTGGTGAAAGACTACATACAATACAGATTGTTTTTCTAAAAATAAAATATATAAAATAAAAAATATTGTCGTGGTCCAACACCTCAATATTGAACAGTTTAGTGTACGACCTGACCTCCACATAACTCTTTGCCTGACTGTTTCGGATATCTTAAACCCATCATTGCCAGAAAGAGTTGTGCAAATAGAGAAGTTAAAACCTGTCTTGGCTCACTTTGAGAACAATTCATCTTCTCCATGAGTATTGCGATAGTCGGAAGACTATGCTTTGTGGTGTCTTGACAGAGAATTTCTGAACATATATATGGTCTTACTAAGCGGTCATTACTCTCTAGATACTTTTGGGGGTATTCCTCACGCCATTTTGTCAACCTGGGCCAACCATGCAAGTATTGCGTCTCAAGAAGAGTAAGAGAGAAGATTACAGAGCCTAGTAAAGCAAGGAACACTTCATTGCAGATCTTTCATCCCCACCAAAGACTTTGAGGAAAGACCTAAGAAGATTCAAAGTCATACTGAAATCAAGCGTCTGTCATTTTTCATGTTCCCAAGGACCTCATCCTACATTATGTCCTTGTTGTGGCCTATCCCGTCCTTTGAGATGAGTCCAAACTGCCACTTTCTCCTACACCCTGCAAAGACACCCAGATTGATTTCATCTAGGTCTCTCCTGTAGAATGCTACATTTCTTAAAAGAAAAAAATAATAATTAAATACTGCTAATCTGTAAATAACTGAAATGCTACATATTTCTGTAAAAACAAAACATTTGCATAAAAAAAACATGAAAGGAAAAAAATAATAAAAAAAAAATATATATATATGCGCTTCCTAAAATTATGGGTGGATGTTTCTTTCCACCGCACTCAAAAATACATTTAATAAAATTTCTCTATAAAACGTTACAAGGGCTCCTACGGAATTCTGTGTAGATTTGAAAGGGGTGGACATTTCCTCCCTTATTCTGATGCATTGGATGCTATATTGGGTTACGATGGAAGGCTTGCAGGTGCCTCCACCTGTGCAACGTGCTTTAAGCACTGATATCAGAGCAAGTTATGTCTTTCACAGCCAGAAAATACAAATAGGACCCTGGCTTCTCCACAATCCAAGACATAGGGAGATGTGGAGAAAAGTCCCTTCTGGCAGAGAAGAGCCTAATGGAAAACATTTTCATATACTGGAAAATGGCAACTGGGACATAGAAATGGACCCATCAGAGGCCATTGTATCAATTTCATGCGCTTTACGGATTCTTCCCATTTTTTTTTTTTTTGAAATGGAGGACATCGAACAGTCGTTTAACAAACATTACAAATGGATTTCCTTTCTTCCTGAAGGTACATTTCTTAGTAAGGTGTGAAGGTAGTGTAACATTAAAGGGAAAAAAAAAGGACTCCAGTTACAAGAGAAGCACTAATACCCAGAATCCAGGAAGCACAAAAAATTTCCAAAAAGAAATAATGCAAAAAGGGGAGAGATGTTTGTTATCTTAAAGAGCAGTCTTGACACCTCAGCATCTTGCGTAAACTGATATATTTCATTACGGGGAAGAGAAGAAATAAAAAAAATTAAACAAACGTAAAAAAAAAAAACCCTCCCCCCCCCAAAAAATAAAAAAAAATAATAATTAATAATAATTGTATTCAGGAAATCTCCTTCTATACGTTTCCAAGATGTAGAACTTTGGTCCGGCAGATTTGCATTTTCAATATGGTCCAGGTAAAAGGAAGTCATTATGTTATTTGTGGTATCATTTATTTACTATCGTGAAGTTTAAATGTTTTTGTATTCACTAAATGGATGTTAAGTCTCCCCCAGCAGCCCCGTTTCACACTGCAAACAGTACTCGCAAAGGTGCTGTGAACAGCGAGATATATATTATGGATCTTGACTTATTGAAGACTTGTTCAGAAAACAGGAGATAATGTCAGATTCCTTGACACCCTCATCTGGAGTCCTCCTACGTTAGTCCAATGTAAAATACAGTTGTAAGTATTTAAATAATAATTATAAAAAAAAACTTCAAACTTTTTTATTATTTTTTTTTTAAATTTTTTTTAAAAGTCCTCCGTGCAGGCCTGACTGTTGTGTTGTTCTTTTTGTTAGTTTGTTTTGCTGTGGTTGAAAAAAATTAATCTGACTGAAAATTCACATACCAAAAAAATTACAGCAAATGAGAATAAAAACTGCACGTGGTATATTTAGCTGCATTTTTTACGGAATTTGAGGTAATAGTTGTGTCCTCGTGTTGCAGGTTCCCAGAGATTGATAAATACAGTTTGTTTGTTTTTTGCTGTTGATGATAACAGAATCCTATTTGTAAGTAACCAGATAGTTAGTAGAAGCTTTTCAGAGGGCAAGATGAATGGGCCTGCTCATGCCAAAACCAGATTTAAGACCTGAAAAAGTGTACCCCTGAGTACATCCCACACAATCAGCGAATGCTGCAGTCTTAACGTCCTTGATGTAGCCTTTCAACAATACCCTTCATTTTATAAAAAAAATTGTTATTCGAGAGGTGCATCTCCTGTTGTGCATGTAAATGACAGACCGGAACTTGATAAAACTGACCTCAGCTTTGAATTCTCTTTCACGGGAACCTCAGATAATGGAGGAGACAAATATTCAGTCTGTAAAAGAATTCTGTATTTTTCAACTCCCTCTGTTAAGACTCTGTAGACTGTAGTTGAAAAATCTACTACAGAAAAAACAAAAGACGAAAAACAAGAAAGTTACACTGGGTCAGCAGGATGCAGCTAATAACCATCAAAAATGCTTGTAACTTTGTGTTCTGCTTTGAATCTCATTTTACTTAACATATATCTGCCATTTATATTTCCCCGTACATTTTTGTCCTCTTGAGAAAAAGAAACTTGTGTAAAACCCAATCCTGGAAAATGTTGCTGTACCTTAAAACATAAACTTGATATTGAGACACTTGTTCCCAGATCGTGGGGGTTTCACTGTCCCAAAGTTAACCGTTGAATGAATGGTACAACAGGACAGGTTTAGTGGAATCCCCATCATAATAAGTAAACAACCATGCACTTAAAGTCCTTGATACCCAGGCCTTGCGGAGAAAGTTCTGTCCCTGTGAAATTTCAGAGAAAGTCGTTAATTCGTCCTTGTTTTGATGAATCGCCTTTGATGAGTTAAGATACTGTCTTTGACCTCTATGCACCAACAGTTCAACACCCAGTACCCTCCCACACCTACCCTCTTCCTTGAATCTGTTTTAAGAAAATATTCGGATAGCCTGAGTGGCAGATGCATGGCACACAGGGCACTCTGGTTCATTCCTTTCACAGATGCGCACGGCACATTCCATGCAGAAGAGGTTGTGCCCACATGGCACCAGTGCAGCGGTAACTTCACTCTCAAAACAAACCATGCACTCCCGACTTCCAGAAATGGAGGTTCTAGTGGCACTTAGTTTGGTGAAACCTGGCAGTGCTTCTCCTTGGCTCCTCCTTGGCAGGGTCGTAAGACTGGAATCTGGTGAACGTTGTGTAGAGTTGGTCTGTATAGTGCCACTGCTCCCAGAACGCTGTTGCTTTGTGAAAATGCCAGGTGCTGGACTGTTATTTTCCTGTCCTCCCCACATGGGTCCCCCAGACTCAGCCACTCCATAGTAGACTTCTTGCTTGTAGTTTGGAAACAGATAGCCATAGTTGAATTCATTTTGATCATTCAGTCGTGGGGTCTCGTACACAGGCTCTGGAGGACAATCTCCAATGCACCCTAAACTGTTCTGCCGAAATGTGGATAGAGGCTTGCAGCCAGCCGCTGTTCCATGCACCCTCCAACTCTCCGGATACCGACTCTCCATTCCAGAATCAGGACTGCTGGATAGAAAGTCATTCTCATTGTTGTACTCCAGAATTTTGCCTGTGCGCACGGCAATGTGGGTCTCTATCTCTTCCCGTGCCCTTTCCACATTCCCAGGGGCACCCGTAATTTCAAATACCGGATCTCTATCCCGGCTTGGAGTGATAATATAAGTATTTGTCTGCTGCTGAATCCTCTTAATTGTGGCACCTTTCGGTCCCACCACCAAGCCCACTACTCTGTATGGGACTCTAACACGAATAGTGACTTGGCCTGGAAGGGCAGGAGCACTACCAAAAGCCGTGCCTGCTTTGTTGCGGGAAGCTCGAATCATGGAGAAATGTTCTGCAGCAGAAATAATCTCACGTCTTGCCATGGCCACGTCTTCTCGGCGTCCAGTCACCATAAACACAGGCTCTTCTCCCCGCACTGGTGTTTTGATATAGGTGTTGGTTTTGGCCCTCAATGCTTTGATTTTGCAGCCTTATGAAAGAGAAGAAAAGAAATGGATAATTAGTATAAATGTTACTGGTTAATAATTTAACATCAATCAAGTCCATAGAACACTCAAATTTATAACTCTCAATCACAATCAGTTAGCGGAGTAATTAATTTTGTCCTTCACACATTCAGTGGGAAGAAAAACAAACAAAAACAAAAAACAAAACCATTAACACCTGCTCTAAAAGTTACTGAACATTTATAAACGCACTATCATATTCTTTGTCAAACAAGTAGCAGCAGCATCAACACCACCGAGTCAGCACTGGAACCAACATAGATTAAACTCAGTATTAATTGAGGACATAGATATCGACATAACTAATTTTCACAGACGCACTCTTCACTAGACAACACGTTTGGTTGTTCTTTGCATGTCCGATGTCTGCACATCTGATTGCAAAACCCAACATCGGAACATGCCGGATAGGTGCAATGTGTAGGATGGCTTACAGTGTGTTAAGCTGTGCAAGATTTGTCTTTTCCTTCTCAAAAAGGGACACTAAGCACCAAAGCAGCTTTGGCTTCAAAAGACACTGTAGGCATTGTAACCGCTTCATCTCACTTAAGTGGTTAGGGTGTCTGGAGTACCTTGGATCCTTCCATTCTGCGTTTCCGATGCTATGCACATTCTCAGCATCTCATCCCCTCTGAGCTGCTTGAGCTAATGAGGAAGTATTAGCCTGAGCAGCAATGGGTGGACATGGTTGGCCGAGAGTGTCAGCTGACCGCTTTCAGCCTATCATAGTGAAAGAGTAAGTATGAATCAGTATGGCTAGAAGGAAGCATGTTCTCCCGTGGGGGTGGGGGTGGGGCTGTGGGAAGCCAGGGACACTCATTTAGTGTTAAATTGGGAGTATTCTGTCCTTTGTCATCCCTCCCAACTACCTCAGAGAGAAAGAAAAAAAAAATTCCCTTTTTTTTTGTGTGTAAACTAGGAGGCTGCCTCCTCATAGCATACAGTTCAAACCATTCTATCCTCCTGCTGTAGTGTGACAAGCCTGGTAAGGTACCTTTCGTGTACAGTTCTTGCTCCATTATGGATGAAGAAACACCGTCAGCAACTGAAGATGCTAAAGAGTTTAATTTGCTTTCTTTCCCTGCATGTCATACCCTTGTAAATCCTTTGATTGCATTTACCGGGATAACAGAATGAGAAACTTTTAAAGAGAAGAGGGATCTTTTTATGTTACTGCAAATGCTGAAAGAAATTTTAATACATTTTAAAAAACATAAATGTGAAGTTATAGCATTTTCTGCAAATTCCCCAGATTTGCAGTTTCTGTAGTGACATTTTACCAAAGTTCACTTAACTGGAACTGATCAGCTAAGGAAAGAATTTGCAGCATTACCCGGTGTGAATAAAGGTTGCCTCCGCTGCACTCCTGAATTGCGGGGAACTTTGTCACATGATGATGCCTCGTGTGCATTCTGGCATCTAAATGCAGTTTGACCGCACGCAAATTTAGGCATTCTTTCAGCACTGCCGTATGTGCACTTGCAAACAGCAACACAGGGGTTAAACTGATTTTCATGCCAGGGCATATAAATAATAAAATAAAATACAGAAACTGGCATACTTTAAAATAATTCTGACAGCACAACCTTCATTCAATGCTTTCCTATAGGGAGGTCTATTGCGTGCGCAGCATTTCCCATGCATGCACACTAGTGCCCGCTTGTCACGGAGCCAGGACCCAGCACCGAGAAACATCGGCACTGGGAAAAGGTGAGTAAATAAAGAGTTTTTCAGCAAATTTTTATGAGACTTGTACTTCAGCTCTTCTCTCTAAAGTAGACAACCAAAATAGAACTCTCAAAAACTTTAAAATAATTACAGTCTATACAATAAATGTTTAAAATTCAAACAAGCAAAAAACACAAAACCTAACCTACACATTGCATTTAACATGTATGGATATACCACAATGACAGTAAAAAAATTAAAGCCACGGGTCGAGGAGCTACAACTCACATTACTCTTGTCCAGAACTGTGAGGAATTTAAACATAACTACCAGAGAGGTTTTATTATCCTGTAAGATCATTAAAGCTCATAGCATTCCTAAATTATCACATGATCGTTTTGAACCCACGAAGGAGGCGGGGGCAATATTTTCAAATATTTATAAGAATGTAAGAGAGCCTTGGCACTAAAGGAAAACAGATTTACATCAAATAGTGGGGAAAATGAACTAGGTCTTAAAGTGTACCTGTCATGGTACAAACAACATTAGTTTTAATTAACCCCTTAAGGACCAAACTTATGGAATAAAAGGGAATCATGACATGTCACACATGTCATGTGTCCTTAAGGGGTTAAAGAGCACAGTCGCATATACAACTATAAGAAAACCTCAAACTGAAAATGGGTGACACTTAAAGTGGTATAGAAGGTATTGGGTGCTCTTAAGGTGAAAAATCCATTCCCACACTGGAGATAGATATATATATACAGTTGCAAGAAAAAGTATGTGAACTCTTTGGAATGATATGGATTTCTGCACAAATTGGTCATAAAATGTGATCTGATCATCATCTAAATCACAACAATAGACAGTCTGCTTAAACTAATAACACACAAAGAATGAAATGTTGCCATGTTTTTATTGAACACACCATGTAAACATTCACAGTGCAGGTGGAAAAAGTATGTGAACCCTTGGATTTAATAACTGGTTGAACCTCCTTTGGCAGCAATAACTTCAACCAAACGTTTCCTGTAGTTGCAGATCAGACGTGCACAACGGTCAGGAGTAATTCTTGACCATTCCTCTTTACAGAACTGTTTCAGTTCAGCAATATTCTTGGGATCTCTGGTGTGAATCGCTTTCTTGAGGTCATGCCACAGCATCTCAATCGGGTTGAGGTCAGGACTCTGACTGGGCCACTTCAGAAGGCGTATTTTCTTCTGTTTAAGCCATTTTGTTGTTGATTTACATCTATGCTTTGGGTCATTGTCCTGTTGCAACACCCATCTTCTGTTGAGCTTCAGCTGGTAGACAGATGGCCTCAAGTTCTCCTGCAAAATGTCTTGATAAACTTGGGAATTAATTTTTCCTTTGATGATAGCAATCCGTCCAGGCCCTGACGCAGCAAAGCAGCCCCAAACCATGATGCCCCCACCACCATACTTCACAGTTGGGATGAGGTTTTGATGTTGGTGTGCTGTGCTTTTTTTTCACCACACAGTGT